GCATTTCTTCAGTTGAACACTTTTCATGTTATAAAAGCATGACACTGAAGCCACAGTAGCCAGTTTCGTCAGTATTTTCAAAGACACTACACACATGACCACGGAACTGTACTTTTCCTGACAACATTTACTCAGTTGGGGTCATAGTAGCCAGTTTCGTTAGTATTTTTAAACACTGTACAGACGTGACCATAATAATGTAAGCTCATATTAGCCGAGGCTGGTTAAAATGTGTTTTACTTGCAGGTTAAAAAAAAATCTACAGTTAACGTGTTTTTATAATAGTTTTTGTTTTGCATAATCCATGACACGTAAACAGGTACTCTCATATTTCTTAGAGTACTAAATGACCTCGTATTTACCACAGGGAGTATTTTATTCTTCGAATTTTTTATAACTCCACATTCGAATGAATTTACGGTTTCAACTTTAACTTTTTTTTTTTGCTTTTTGTTGTTTCCAGACAGTTTCACAACGGTATAATTGAGGTGATTTATTTTTTTCGTACAAGATTTTCTGACTCGTACACCATTACACCAACCTTTGTGTAAGATCCGACGTACTTTAACGGTTTCTGGATGTTGGAATTAAGTGTTGGTGAAATTTGAATTTGTTACTTTAAGCAATGAAATCGATAATAACCTCATTCTTTGTTTATTAAAGTGGCAGGAAGAAAATGGTATCCAGAAGTTGCCCTGGCCGAGCCAATATCCTGACATGAACCCCATCGAAAATCTTTGGGCCATACTCGACCGGCAATTCAAGAAACAACCAAAAAACCAACTTCGAAGAGCGATCTACTCCAAGTTCTGAAGCAAGAGTGGGCGAAAATCCCACAATCTAAAATTAACGAGATGATTCTCACGATGCCTCAAAGGATCAACGAACACCACGAAGCGAAAGGAAGATCTTCTAGATATTAATTAAATTATAAATATATCAATTCATGTGAATATGACTGAAAATCAAGTAAATAGACACCACCTTTTCAGAAAAAATGAAACTGACCACGCTGTGTATATATATTTAGATAAACTCTTGCTGGAACATTCTTTACTTTTTTCATTCACTTGTTTTCCTAATTAAATCTATATCCTATCATTATTCCAATATACTTAATGTATTCTGATTTTTGTAAACTAGAATTAATCGAATATTTTTAATAGATAGAGACTTGCGTATACAGTTGTTATAATATTATACGTAAGTTTCTACGTAGTAAAAATTGAATTATTTTAATTATTTCTGTTCATTCTTTTAAATGAAATATTATATAAGCTAGTTTCTTATCATTTAAATATAACAAGTGTTCATTACACTACTTATTTATATTTAAATCATTATTTTTTTTATAAACTCAATATCACAATTGCTAATATAAATTCTACTGAATCACCTGAAAAACTTAATATCAAGAAATTAATTTTAATAAAATAAAAATAATAGTGAACACAAAACTGATACCTGGGGTATTCCACAAGTAATGTTTAATGTTTAACAATAGGTGTGCAAGTAAACGTTTCGCGCCAGGTGAAAGTGTGGTGTTACCAGGATACTCCTTCAATTCTATAATACACCAGGTGAATGTATTGCAGGGATACTCTAATTCTATAATACGCTAAGTGAAGGTGTTACCAGGATACTCCAGTTCTATAATACACCAGGTGAATGTATTGCAGGGATACTCTAATTCTATAACACGCTAGGTGAAGGTGTTGCCAGGATACTCCAGTTCTATAATACACTAGGTGAATGTATTGCAGGGATACTCTAATTCTATAATACGCTAAGTGAAGGTGTTACCAGGATACTCTAATTCTATAACACGCTAGGTGAAGGTGTTACCAGGATACTCCTTCAATTCTATAATACACCAGATGAAGGTATTGCAGGGATACTCTAATTCTATAATACACTAAGTGAAGGTGTTGCCAGGATACTCCAATTCTATAATACGTCAGATGAAGGAGTTTTCAGGATACTTTTCAGTTCTATTATACGCCATGTGAAGGTGTTGTTGATAGGATACTCCTTCAATTGTATAACATGCTAAGTAAAGATGTTATCAGGATACCCCCAATTCCACGACACGGTAAATGAAAATATTGTTAAGTTAGTTTTTGAAACTGTGTGCGTTAAATGCATGGATATGTTACGCGGACACTCCTTTTATTCTGTAGTGCATACAGTAATAACACAAGAATGCATATAAAAAAAAAAGATATACGTGCAATTCCTTATGCGTTCTGATGCGGGATAAACAAGCACACCCAAAGTTTATAGCTTTGATTTAACACAGGATGGCGCGTCCAGATGCGTGGGTGTTTGTATACAAATTCTGACTGTTTATCAGATTTATATTATAGATAAGAAATATGGATTGATCGTTTAAGGCTGGTCTTATGATATTTCAAGAATGGTTACTGCGTTGTTACAAACTCTGAAAAGTTTGCTTAGCTAATTTGTTTCGAATATTTGCGCAAAGCTACTCAAAAGCTGTCTGCGCTAGCCGTCCCTAATTTTGAACTGATAGACTAGAGAGAGAGAAAACAGCTAGTCAACAGCAACCATCGCCAATTCTTAGGCTATTCATGTCTAACCGCAAATTAGGAATTCTTGGATTTTAAGTCCGGGTAAGCCAACGACTGAGCCACGCTCAAACACACATATTATGAAATACAGATAAATCATTGGATTCTAGTGTTTATTATGGTATAAGTTTGATATTTTGCATAAAAATGGGTATTTCCTTTGATAAAATCCTCTTTTATTATTACATCAATCAAATCACTTATTTTTTAATTCAAAGGAAGAGGTAATGTTGATAGAAAGTTGATCACAATGATAGCTCTGCGAAGTGGTAACCAACTAGTAACAAAGAAATAACTAAATTGTACATTTTTAAGATTTTTTTATTTTGTATTTTAACGTATACAAATTTTCTATAGAATTGTGAAACATCGTAAACAGACAAGATGAGAAAAACAACAAAAACACGGGCTTATACCCTGCTGCCATCTGTCGATCGCTAAAACTAATTAAATTCATTCCAGATAACGATCAATTTAGGGATTTCATCCAAACGTTAAGTAGAAGAGAATTTAATATGTTTGGCAATAACTTTTAAAAATATGACTTAGTTTCTTGCATTTTTATTTCACCCTCCCCCTTTTGTTGGAAATGGTAAGGTAGTCAGGCATACTGTAAATGTTGCAGTATTGTACATATAACAAATAAAAATAATCTATATATCCAGCTTTTTGCAAGATAATTTGACATAGTGGTTCTCCGGAATGGTTCAAACATGGGACATAAACTAAAAATTATCTCTGGAGATCAATAGTTTTGCTTTTTAGTTATTCAATGCAGAGTTTTAATTCAAAACAAATTTTTGTGACAAAAAAAAAATACCACATTTTTACGCACCAACGTATGCTTTCTTAACGTTAGTAGCTCCCCAGTGGCACAGCGGTGTGTTTGCGGACTTACAATGCTAGAAACCGGGTTTCGATACCCGCGGTGGGAAAAGCACAGATAGTCCATTTACTCCATTGTGTAGATTTGTACATAACTTCAAACAAACAAAGAAAATAACGTTAGTATTTTTGTTGCACTAGAACATTCCAATGACCGCAAAAAAATGGTTTTCGAAAAAAGCTTTCACCTTTATCCGGTGTTTAAAAACCCATAGTGTAATTTTAAGCTTCTCATTTTCAAACAAGCGAATATCTAAACCACACTAAAAAAACTCGCGACAATGGCGATAGGGAAGAATAATGATGAATATCTATAAACAAGTCACATAAATAAAGACAATGATAAATCTAATATGCATTTCAAGTTAAAGTATAGCCAGTCTGGTTTGAGTCATTATGAGCATTTCCAACTGGTGTGTGTGTGTGTGTGCACTTTACATGCATACCAAAACTCCTCGATTTGTTTAAGACTTGGCATAAAGATACAAAAGAAAGAAAAGAAGGTTCTGACGTGGAAAATATAATGTCTAAATCAATAACCAAACGTCTATAAAACTTTGAAACCACTGAACCAAACTTATATACCTCACCAAACTTGACAGTGGATATACTGAAATATTGTATTGAAGAATGTCTTCCTTAGCTAACGAATCGAAAAAATTTTTATGTTACTTTTTTAACATTTTATAATGCTCAACAGATGGCGCATTGATGAGAATTTCCCTATTTCAATTGCAGTAGAATGGTTGATGTTAGATCGGAGGTGGCAAATGGCGGTCCATTTGTTATTTTTTGTATTTATTTATCGCCAAAATATACGTAATTATACTCCCCAAGTAGAAAATGTAACTGCACAGCGTAAGAATCACCTCGCCAAAACTAGCCTACTTTACATACAGGTGGACTTCCACTAACATCGACCTTTAGCCTTTACCACAGAAAACTTTTGATCAAATATCACGTGTGTCGTCAAACTGATGACGTCACAGTCGCTATGGGTACCCCCGCCACCCTTATTAGTATGTGAATCTACACCTGGCCCTTCGTAATATATCGAATGAAAAGAAACAAAGATACTGCTTTGTCACATGCTTTCAAAGTATGAAATAATTATATTGTACCGCTACAATTGTGATTAAAAGAAGTTTTATTGAAAATTTCTTTAAAAGCAGCTTGTTTCCATTTTCCTCAAAATACGTTTCAATTAAACAATAATAAAACATACTATTCTATTACAGGACATATATTCTTGATACGTTTGTCTATTAATTATTCTAAAATTTCTCTTCGAAACCAGAATATAATTTAATTTTTCTGTTGTTAAATTTTCATAATAAAATATAGACCGAAATTGTTCGAAATATATTTTTATCAAAAATACAAAAATATCTACGAATAAAAAGCAGCGACAGACAAAGTACATATTGTTCAGTACATTGTGTAAATTATAGAAATTGGACTATAAAAGTGACAATCTCTAACTTTTGGCTTCATTGTAGATGTTATAAGACAAATTATTTAACTGATATAAGCTATAGAACGTAGATGATATAGCAGGAATCACAAAAATTTTCGCACATTATATCGTTTTGAAATCAGTTCAGCTTCCTAACAATTGGACAGTCAATTATACAAATCAATCACATATGTTCAAATTACCATATTTTGAATTATAAAAAATGGATGGTAAACGTATTTGTCAGTTTCATCTTCTTATCGTACTTTCGTCTTTTACTCCGAAATATGTGTTATATAATAAATAAGTACATAAGTAAAAACAAAAAGAAAAAATTAATTATTGATTAATATTCAAATTAGATAATGGAACGTGGCACAATCCTGGAAAAAATCTGTAACTTCATTTAAAAAACAAAGTAAAAGAAAATTGTTCAACACCTCCAAAAATGCCGAAAATGTTATTTATGGGCTTTGTCAAGGAACTATGCACTTTCTGAAAACAAGTCACACACAAAGACAGTCTCTTTTTCATAGTCGTTCAGAAGACGTGACCAATAATAATCGTCAACATGATAAGCAACTGTGTTCATTCTTACCACTGTCACCTCAAGTATATGCTAATAGTGCTTTTATGATTAGACCAAAACCGCCACCTGGTGAGTTTTTTGGGGGGTAATGAGTAGAAATAATTAAACCTCTGTCATTAATATATTCATTTATGATTATTTTTTTTGTTAGAGATTTAAAAATATTAGCTTTTCATACTCAAAGCCTGAAGATAACTTTAAGGTTTTCTTTCAACAGACCAAACAAGAAGAAGGAACCCTTGTTCGTACTGAGGAGTTTCAATAAAACATAAATAATACTTTAAGGTATTATCCGTGATGAGCCCTTTCTAAGTAAATATCATTAAAAATAAATATATTCATCGTATTAATTACAAAAATATTAGGCGAAAACTTGTAGTTTTATAATTTAATTTTTTTATATATTTTTTATGGTAATTTTTTTAATTTGAGTTAATTTCTCGTTGAGAGAACAACGATTACTAGAAAATGCTTTTGACAGGATTATTAGGCACAGATAAAATACTAATTATGAGAAATATATTTTATATTTAATTAATTTACAAAATAAGATATAATCAGTTTTTCGTTTAAATGAAGACAGGATCCATTTCTGTTGTGTGTATACCATCTATTCTCAAGACCCTAGTGGTCATCAAAATGTAACAAAAATCGTGAGTTTGAAACTGAACAAAAACAAACTTGTCAGGCCGTGTTAAACTAATCAGTAACGTATCTAGTGCTTTCATTAAAACCTATAACGTCAAGATATGTCAGTTATTCTGGCAATTAGAACTTATAACTGGTGTCGTGCGATCTCCTACGCCCCCGCATAAC